CACTTTCAGATAACCAATACATTATAGAATTATTATCTAATCTTATATAACATATAACTCTTTGGCATGTCTTTTAAAAGCATATGGTTAACATTGTTACTAAATGATACAACTCTGTTATATTGTTGGAATAAAATATGAAATGGTTTCAGTTTCTGAGAACAGGTTATATTATTTTTTTTTTAATTGAGCAAAAATTTATACATTCTATATCATGTCATCTCCTTTTTAAACTGTCTTAACTACATTTTACATTTGGTGATGGTGATGGTTTTCATTTATTTGTTTGTTTAGTGGTGAGGAAGGACTTGGAAAATATGTAACTGAATGCAATCATATATTTTATTTAAAATTATATAGAAAACTAACTCACATTAGAGTAAATTTCTCACATTACAATGCTTTAATTCTGTAGGTAAAAGAATTATGCCCTAATAAATAACTAGCATACCCAGTGACTAAAGTGGAGGAGGTTGTCAGTAAAAAAAGGCACGTAAAAGAACATATGCACTTTTATAATGTTAATTATCTTTTGTTTTTCTTTTATGCACATGTTTAATGCTTAAAGTTTCTTCCACACTGAGAGGGAAAGAAATATATATATATATATTTTTTTTTTTTGCTCAAAACCAATTTTGGCAAATTATCTCATGTCACAGTCACACCAAGCAATAGTACCTAAACTTTATATTTCAGGTTTCCTGTTGTATTTATCCTTATTGTATCTAAGTCTTCTTGGACTGAGTTACACACCTCTGATGAGATCCCAAAGACACTTTCAGAGATTCTTTGTTCTTCCTCTTTCACCTACAGAAGAACCATAGATTGCACACACCCAGCTTTAATCCTTTAGATTGCACACACCCAGCTTTAATCCTTTAATCCTTTTTTTTTTTTTTTTTTTTTTTTTTTTTCTCCTTTCAGTTCAGAAATGACAGAAGCTGGACCTTCTCACAGGAGTGATTTTTTCCAAAGCAAAGCCATCTCCACTTCCCAGGTGCTTCTTCTCTCTTTTCTGTTTCCTGCATGTTGACAAGGAGATATAGAATAACTAGTGCAGCAGTGTCCTAAGAGCAGATAAGCCTCCATCATCCATCTTTACCAGCATGGTTGTTTAGAATCGTAGAATCACAGAATCATTAAGGTTGGAAAAGATCTCCAAGATCATCTGGTCCAACCAGCCACCAATATCACCCACTAAATCATGTCCCTAAGTACCACATCCAACCTTTCCTCAAAGTGGGGAGTTTTAGATTAGAAAAAAGCAATTATTTACTATGAGGGTGGTGAGGCTCTGGAACAGGTTGCCCAGAGAAGGTGTAGATGCCCCATCCCTGGAAGTGTTCAAGGTCAGGCTGGATGGGGCTTGGAGCAACCTCGTCAGGTGGGAGGTGTACCTAGATGGAATTAGATGATCTTTAAGGTCCTTTCCAATGCAAACCATTCTGTGATTCTATTAATTTATGCTGGGCTAAAATGTACCATAAAATAAGAGCATTTTGTATGTTGAAAAAAAGACATTGACATTCACATTTCTATCAAAAAAATAAAAATAAAATAAAATTACCTGTCTGGAAAGAAATAGTTTCACCATTCCTGGAAGTTATTCATAACCCCAACCTTAATGTTGGTTATGAGAGGAAGAAAGACATTAGGAGTCCTGCTCCTCAAGATACATGTACTCCCAAAATGGAGTAGTCTGTGGTGTGGCTATATATTATATATGTGTGTGTGTGTGTGTGTGTGTGTGTGTGTATGATCCTATAATCTCTCAGAAAGCCATACACTCCACTTTCACATGGGTACACTGACATTATATAGTTATAGGTTGCTTCAGGAGTGAACTGTATGTGTAATATGAGATTATTATGCTACATTTAGAATAGGCTTTTCACTTACTGTATGAAGGTCAATGTGTGGATTTGAAGTCAGTTGTGCAGCCCTGTAAACTGCCTGTGCTGTAAATCTCAACAAAGTGCGTATGGTATTAATAATACTTTACTAGCTGTGTGTCAAGGTCTATCATGCCACTGATTCTCACACAAAAGGAGCCATGATATGTTTTGTTACCAACTTCTATCACACCCAGGGTAATTTTGGCTTCTTTTTTTTTTTTAGCTACAGTGAGATACAGGTGTTCACTTCCACATTTTTAAAAGCCTAATAAAATGATATCATTTCCCTCTCCACTTTTTCCTAGGTTCTAAACTGCACTCTAGCTGTCTTGTCAGGAACTCCTGGTACACCACCTGGAGCATGCTCCCATTAATAAAAGTGACTGTACCAGAACAAACAATAGTTCAGATTCTGCCATCTACCTGTCAAAGAAACAACAGCCACTAGATTGCAAAATCCATTATCATATCACACCACCCATTTCCTATTACACCTGCCATGCAAGACATGCCATAACTCAGTAGGGCAGCAATGTGTGTTGATCAATTTTCTTTCTTTGTGCTCTGCAATGTTTTGTTTTGTACCAATATGCACTGTTTTCAAGCAAATAACATTTTGATTTTTATAGCACCCTCCTTCATGTATGTCCCTGTCCTCCTGTGTAAACTGCCTGGCTGCCTATCCAGCCTGGAAAAAATTCCTTACTTTTGCTTCTTTAGTCAGATAAAGTATCTGCTGAGTCAATTGCTTTCACAATTAATGTGGTCAGCTTATGCATACTTTAGGAAACAAAGGCTCTTCCTTCAAATATTTGTAAAGACAAAACTGTCCTGTGGCAAAGGAAGTAACACCATAATTCCGGCTTAGGCATTGATAAGGTAGCAAATCTTTATTATCCTTTGTTCCTGTAATAAAACTTATAGATGTTAGCTTGGCTTCTTGCGTCTTTGAACATAGTCTGAACTGAGTTTCCTTGGAAAAGATTATTATAGAAGTTTGTCACTGGTTGTGTTTTTGTTTGTTTGTTTGTTTGTTTTTATTTTTACTGGATAGCAGTTGCCTTCACTTAAGCAGGAAGGTTACTGTGTTATAATGAATTGGTTATTGTGCCTATAGTCACTAAAGTTTTTTCTGATTTTTTTTTTCAGGTTGTTATCATGCCATCGCATAAATTACTATCATTTGCTTGTCTTTTTTTTTCAGTTTATGCATGTAATAAAAGCAGTAGTGAATGCAATGGAGAATGAACAGCAAAAAAGCAAAGAGCAAGGATCTGAGGTATATCATACACCAAGCAGAGGAAAAATATGTTATGTCTGAGTAAAAATGAGTGTACATATGTAAACCCACAGTTCCTTCTTATCCATAAGTGAATTCATATCTAAATAAACAACAACAAAAATTTTATGCCTTGAGTTCTTGTCTGTTTTGACTTGTCCAGACTTTTTATTTTTTCTCTTTTTATTCACCCTTAAGTTCTCTTTGAAAACATAGAAATATTTCAAATAGAAAAGTACCAAGAGAGAAATATCATTGGCTCCCAGTTGTAATGTGAGAACCTAATAAATTCTGTGGGTTTTTTTGTTTGTTTTGTTTTGTTTGTTTGTTTTTGCTATTCACTTATGATTTTCCTTTTATATTTGTCTTTATTCCCTTACTATTAAAAGAACCCCCTGGTTCCAAAGTCTGTAAGTGGCCGATAGGATTTTTTTCAGTTAAATACACTTAATGTGTTGTGTAATAATTGTCTGTCTTAATCCTCTTTTGGTTTCATCTTTTCTGTGTACATATTTGGGTCTAGAGAAGAACTTTTATTCTCAAGAAATTAAAAATTGAAGAAGAAAAAGAAAAAGAAAAAGAAAAAGAAAAAGAAAAAGAAAAAGAAAAAGAAAAAGAAAAAGAAAAAGAAAAAGAAAAAGAAAAAGAAAAAGAAAAAGAAAAAGAAAAAGAAAAAGAAAAAGAAAAAGAAAAAGAAAAGAAAGAAAAGTAAAAAGGAAAGGAAAAAGAAAAGGAAAAAGAAAAGAACTATTTTAGGAAGGAATTTGAAAAAGGGGAAAACATCTCAGGTGATTTGCCACAATATAACAGTATTTTCTTTAGCAAAGGGGTAACATGTGAGTGCTTTATCACTGCCCCACATTTCTAGTGTAATTTTTATTTTCTATGAACATAATAGGATTTCTTGCTTTTTGTATATTTTGTTACACCATAGTCTTCTGTTTATTTAAGAAGACTACAAGAGGTACTGACTAGTCAAATCAAATTGTCTAATTCTGCATTTTATTACAGTTACAAAAGACATGCCAAATGAAATACTTGAAGATAAGGAGTAGTAAGAATCTTAACTCAGAAGGTCTTAGTAACGTAAGCCAGGATTTTGATACAGACAAAGAGACGGAGATGCATTATTTATCAGCAAAAGAAAGCTGTGAGTAGAAACCAAACAGGAATTCATCTAGAGGCTGATTTGGGGAAAAATGTTAACGTTAGTACCAATAGGCTTCCTGGTATAGGAAGTATAAGGAATTATCTGAATGTGTGTTGGTGAAATAGGACATGTTATAACTATATGATGAAATCAGGAGGGAGATGAAAGAAGAAAAAGAAAATTCTCTGTTGTAGTGGACTTTTTGAAGTGTTTCTGACCATGCATTTTAATTTGATTACATATTTAATTTGCTTACAAAACATAGCATTTCTTTTGCTGTTGTGGTCTACCTAGAAACAAACTGAAGAGTGTACCTTAAGTTCAGACTAGGCTGCAATTCAGAATTAAATTGTAAAATAACTAAATTGAAATTAAATTGAAATTAAATGAATTTAAATTGAAATTAACTTTTTTTTTCTTCATGTGCAAGCACATAAATAGTGGTTTTATATGTAAATTCTGTTCCATTAAAAAATATATATATATCTTTACATAAATGGCATGAATTCAGATTTCACATAAAGAGGTGTTACCAAAAGACTTCACATCAATTTCCTTCATTTTATCCCGTATTTACTTAGAAAGACTTCTGAAAGCCCAGCCATTTGTAGTATTCACTGCTTGACAGATGTAGCAGAGATTTCTTGGGAGTCCCAAGTTATGCCATCTTAGATGCTTTTTTTTTTTTTTTAATGTTTAAAATATCAAAGAACTTAATTCTGATCCACAAGTATGCACCATAGTTAATTCATTTCATTAATAGATAATTACATTTATTTTCCCCTTCTGCTTTTTAAACTAGATTCAAAAACTTCCATGTATATGTAAAAGAGTGTGTTATTTAAAATTGAAAAATCTTGCACTGAAAGTTTATTATTTGTACATAAGACAAAAAAATCCACTTATTAAACACTTGTATTGTTAGAGAATTTTTTTGGTTGAACTTGAAGCGTGTCAGCATGGATGATATTTAGGTAAGTAGTTGAAAATAGATAATTCTATATTAATTCTAATATGTGTGTACATGGGGGAAGGGACAATATATACATAGGGTTTACTATTTCTTCTTTCCAGAACTATACAAAACACATAGTCAAAGCAAAGGATTATGGAGACTTCTGAACAGGTCTTTTTCTGGAAATGATTGTCTCTTGTAGGTGAGTAATATCAATTTCACAGGCAGGCTCTCACCTGTCTGCTATTGAGCTAATGCAACCTTTTATTACTGTGCATCTCACAATACTAACTAACATCCTGACCATCCTAAAACCCTCAATATTGCCACTCTGGGAGTCTGTATGTCATGTTAAGCAACTTGAAACCTTTTCAAGTCTCAGAAGTGTAGCAAATAAAGCATCACTACAGTTGTCATGTCAGCTCAGCATGAACATTTAGATTCATATCCTAATAATATAATATTCCATAGTTTTGACTTTTCTGTGGTTTCTTTTAAAACCATAAGTCACTATCTTTTATTTACCTACAACCCGTGTTCAACACACAAAAGTATATCAAGGTTACTACTTTTGTGTAAGAAGAAAGAATCCCACAGCGTTTCTTTTTAATAACTGTTCAGCTACAAAATTTTATTGGTATCCTTCTATGTTCCCTCTAAAGGATGTAATGCACAAAAGCATTGGCACGGAACATATAAAATTACAAATGAAATTTATTGTAAAAAGTAGAATGTCTTCTAGACTGGTGTCAGTATTTATTTCATTCATAAACCAAAACTGCAGGTATAATATATTCATTGTCAGCAAGTTCATGTGTGTAAATTGCCATCCAACAGTATTGACTGATATAAGACAGATATTGAGAAGACAATTTAAATTTACTCTTCCAAACATAAACTGTTCCACAAAAGCACTGTAAAAACTCCTTCAAGGTTTTGTGTTGTGCTTCACATTTATGGTTAACTACATAATTTGGTTGTGTCATAATCCACTGTGTTTGGCAATTTGGCATTAAATGCCTGCAAAGCAGATTGAATCCTCACCACTTCACTGGTAGACAGTTTGAGTCTATGACGGAGCAAGCAAGAGAAGAGGTCTAGACGACGTTGACCAGGTGGAGAGAGTTTATTTACACGATCACGTATCTCTAACAGCTGCAAAAGTGCCGAGTCCTGTGATCCCTGAGTATAGGGGTAGTCCAGCTGCAAAATCAAGTCTCGAATTGCTTCTGGGTCAAAGTGCATGCTGTAGCCAAACACTTGGATGTTATTGATTTTCATGTAGCCCAGATTTCTTGAGGGATCAATAAATTCCAGGGGTTCATAGTAGATGCTCTCATTGCCATTTGGACCATTTGACTTTATTCGACTCCTCAGATAGATGTGTACTGTCTCAAAAAATGTCTTCCATTTGTTGCCCAGAGTCAGTGTCCAGTTATAACACTGAAGGGGTAAGTCCAGCTTAGTCCGCTCCCAGTCTGGGAAATTATTTTCATTCACAGGCATAAACCAGCTCTCAGAGTGGCTGCCCCCAAAAGGGTTGATGTAAACAGCAAGAACAGGCTCTAAGGTGCTGTTTTTAGTTAGGCAGATTTGAAGAGAGAGGCCTAGTATCATATGAACCAGGCTAGATTTGTACTTGTTACTCTTAAGGGTAAGGAGCATCCGCTTGCGCCAGGAAGGATCAAACCAGCTGTTGAGGCGCATGTCGTTGCTGATGAAAATTGCATGGACCTCAATTCTCCGATCTGTCTTCTGCAGTAAATACTTCATTTCCAAGTCTTGAAGATCAGTCTCGAACCCAATGTAGTGTTCTGTTGATTCTGCCACTTCAGGCTTGCAAATCCCTTGGCTTAGCATGTATCCAGCATTGCAGCTCCCACAACGTGTGCGGTTGTCAGGAGCACAGCTCAAACATGCAGAACCATCTCCAATTGTGCAGGGAAGGAACCCATGGCAGGCAACTTGATCATTAGGGCAGGTGCATGTGTGAGTCTCTTCAGAAAAGCTCCCCAGGAGGCCATTTTCATTGCAGTAGAGAAAGGACTGGATGCGGTTGAGCCAATAGTTGGAAGATCTGCAACATTAAAATAATATATTTTAGCTCAAACTGAGACACAAACACAATAAGTACAACCTTGTAATTTTTTTATCAGGAAAAAAAAAAAAAAAAAAAAAAAAAAAAAAAGGAAAGATAAAGCTGTTTTTAACAGCAGATTAAGGCACTATAAACATACCTAAAGTCAGATGACAGCATCTGCTGTCAGATAAATACATGTCTAAATCACCTTTTAACAATGATAGAGAACTTTCCTTATAAGATCACACAACAGGAACGTTTGGTTCATTTACTTTTTTTCTCTCTATCTCTGTCAAGAAAGCCTATCAAAGAGCTGTTTTTTTGTAATTGTCTTCAGATTAACATCTTGAAATCCTATACACTTGAGATTTTTTTCCTCGTACTCTTTGCACAGGGACATGCTTTGTATATATCTGTGTGTATGTGACTTTGTACCACCTCTCTGTTTTTCTTTTGAAGATTTTTCTAAGCTTGCACACTTTCTTGTTACTAGCTGTAACCATCCTGATTTATAGACAATGAGTTACAGAATGACCAAAATTCTTACCTGGAATAGCAAAGAGGATCCCGCACCCCACTAAAACAGATTCAGTCTTAACTCTCTGAATGAACAGAACAATATCTCTATGGGAAGCCACAGATGACCAAGCTGTGTTTAATTTTCATGTTCTGAGATGAAATTGAATGATCACTTATCTTTTTCTTGTCATTTCAGTTCAGTTCCACTAGAAACAACAGTTTATGTCCTAAATTACACTGTGAAAACAGATACCGAAACCAATAATTTAGCTGATAAGGTACAGTTGCTAGCAGAAAGAAAATGTGAGCATAGTTATATGGACATAGTCAAGAGAAAAATTATCTCCTTTTATAAGTCCTTCTTAGTAATCCTACAAGTGCACAGCTTAAAGGACCTGTTTTGTCTGCTGCAGAGTCAGTTTTATTGTTGCCATGATGAAGATGGCAATGATGATGGTTGTACAGTTCTTCTGTTTCAATTGCACTGCTTCGGAGCGAGAGCCTCATTTACTAACTTACATTTTCTGTTATACCTGAATTTATCTCAAGCATTGGATAGTTCAAAAATCTTAATGATTTTTTTTCCCAACTCTAGTGTAAATACTAAAAGTAAATACTAAAAGTAAAATTTTTTGGAAACATGAAAATAAAAACCAGTAATATTACATCATTTTACACTCTGGTGACTCTCTGTTTTTAATGTTGTGGTTTTCTTTTGTTTTGGGAGGTTCTAGTATTTTTTTTCACCTCTTTTCTGTTTCTTTTTTATATATTGTCTATCAATGTTTTATGGAGGTATAAGTATATACAATAACACTCGTGACATGAATGCCTAAACAACTTGTTTCTCTATACTTAGTTGAAAGTCAACATTAAGGAAAAATATGTTTGGAAAGTTTATATCTTCCTTTCCTGAATAAAACTAGAACATCCATCCTACAAATAAATCCACTGTCACAATATAAATGTTACTCCAAAACTGAGTAGTACATTAAAACTACAGCTTTCCCAGGTAGAATGGGAAGTTACTGTGTACTTGCTTTGACAGTAATCTGTATCTACTGAGCTTGCCCTGGCATCACTATATGTTGTGTAGGTTGTTGTATCTAAGGATACATTTGCATGATATATTCTGGTCAAATGAAAACTCACTGTGCCTGAGCTCCAAGGTTAAACAAAGGCAGGTAACTACATTAGTTTCTCAGCAGAGATTAGCAGCTTGGATTTTGCATTGTGCTAGTATGGACAAGACATTTCTATATGGCTTGGAGGTTCAACAAAGACCATTTCTACTGGCCCAGAGCCCAGGCAGTGTTATCTTTCAACTGTATTCCAGCTATGAATTTTGGAGCTTGACTTCAGATATTTTTAAGCTAGATTTCTGAATAGTACTTTATTAAGGTATACTGGATGTCAGTGGCACGGTTATGGCAGTGGAGAAGGGGGAGTAAGGGCAGCCTTTGTGAGAAGAGATCAGGGGCTGCCTTAGTCCAGACACAGAAATTCCAGCCAGCTTCACAACAGCCCCACTGTAGCCGTAGCCGAGTCTGTCAGTAAAGATGCTGGCACCTCTAAGAAAACATTTAAGAAAGGGCAAAATGCTTTCTACCAGACTGAGGTAGAAAAGTGTGATAAAGGAGGGGGAGGAAAGTGTGATAAAGGAGGGGGAAGAGGTGCTCAAGGTGCTGGAGTAGATTCCCCTCCAACCGGTGCAGAAGACCCCATGACAGAGCGGGTCTACCCTAAAGAGCTGCAGCCTGTGGGAAGGACCTACACTGGAGCAGGAGCAAAGTGTGAGCGGAAGGAGTGGCAAAGAGGAGCTGTATGGACTGATTGTAGCCCCTTGCTCACCACCCTCCATCACTGCCTGGGGCAGGAGGAGGTAGAGGAGTTGGGAGTGAAGGAGTGGAGTAGAGCCAGGGAAAATGGGGGTGGGGGGAGATGTGTGTTTTACTTGTTGTTGTTGTTGTTGTTGTTTCCTACTATTTAAGTCTCTTTTGCTTGGCAGGAAATTAAATTAATTTTCCCCAAGTTGGGTCTGTGACTATAATGGGTAAGTGATCTCCCTGTTCTCATGAGCTTTTTCATTTGATTTTTCTGCTGCCTCCTGTTGAAGAGGGGGAGTGAGAGAGTAGCTGGGTGGGCATCTTGCACCCAGCCAAGATCAAGCCACCACATGGGGAAAGGGAGAAAATTTGCAGCTTTAAGATGATCTTTAAGATTTAAGGTGTTATGTTTCATTTACCCCTTCTTCCTCTTAGATGTAGTGCATAGGATTCCAGCTTATTATATTATATTGCTACTTTGAAATAGTTCAAATAATGTTCTTCATGGTAATTTTCAGTATAAACAACAAATATCACTGTTAGTGTTCTGCAGGAAAAAAAAAAAAAAAAAAACACACAGGAAGAAAACAGGAAGAATATGAGGCTTTCACACTAGTTAAAGTCAGATACTGTCTACTCTTATACAGGTATTAATTGACTCTGGAAAAAATGTTCTGTATCAAATGTGTATACTAAAAAATGTATATAATACATGTGTGTGAAAAGTTTTGGGATGTGCTAGTCCACAGTTTGCTAGGAAACTGAGTAAGTAACTAGAAGGCAGTGAGTAAAGATGTCCAGTTTGTCTTATCCTGGTTGCTCAGCCCCCATTTTTATATAAAAGACTTTGGGGGGGGGGGGGGGGGGGGTGAATAAAGGAGGATGTCTCCTCCTGTGGATACATCTGGGAAGGTTAGATTGGACAAGTATCTGGAATGCATGGTGAGCCAGACAGAAAGAGAGTCTGCAGAATTATTGCAGATTGACAAAGAATGGAGTTAAGAGAGCAGGGAACAAATTCTTTTGGTGCACAGAGGTGATGGAAGGAGGGAGACCTATTGATAAACATGACACTGTTGGAAGAGGAGGATTTTCAATTGCTGGATTAAGGTTATTTAAATTAATAAAATTAATTGACAGGTTGAAGGGTGATTTGACTTGGGTAGTTTACATCTCCAGTCACACAGTCTTTAGAATTTTTTTTTCCTTAGTAATGATATAATCTACTGTTTCTGTTATTATGACAAGTAAAATCCTTAATGACACTTTCTTGTTCTTTTTATTTTTAAAAAGCCTACCTTTCTTCTTTTTCTGTTAAAGGATAGAAGAAGCAGTCAAAAAATCTGCATAAAATTACACAGCTGAACAATTAAGTTGTCTGCAGCTCTGAGATTTAAGGTGCTGCCTTTCTTCAGTGCTATAGCCAACAGATGTAGATTGAGTCTCTAATACTTAAGGACAAAAAGAGCTTGCCTTCCCGAGTGATATATTAACCCCTGATATTTACTGTCCAAATAGAAAATTTTGCTGCCTCTGTAAGCTCATTACACAAGTCCAATCTATGCTAACACCAGAATTTGAGGACCATTGAGCTGTTGAATATCCTCCACAAGGACCTCAGCCACAGGTTGACTGAAAATTTTACACAAATGACTGACTACAAGTCAGTAATTACATCTATATTATGACAGATAGTTCTGAAAACATAATTAAAATAAACAGCCTTGTAAGGAAAATCAAAATACATTTACTAGATATCTTTCAGGATTTTAATGGGATCCATTTTTCTTGCTCAGATCTTGCCATTGCCTCCAGACAACAGTATAGTGCAGGAATATTTTTTTGAAGCTTGGTGCATATAGCACGAGACAAACAAAATCTTACTTTCTTCTAGATTATTTTCTTCACCTAAGATTCAACTAGTATCGGCTATTACTTGATGCCATTAGTTAGATTTCCCTTTTCTAGTACATGAGATCTAATTATTCTTTATTTTTCTAAGTTAGGTGACTGAGCTTGTTCTTGGTTGTCTAGATACACTATGAAGTCTTGAATGTACCACTTCTAATTCATCTGGGTCGGGGCAATCCCAGATAAGAGTACAGACTGGGAGAACTCATTGAAAGCAGCCCTGCAGAGAAGGATTTGTGGGTTTTGGTGGACAAAAAGCTTGACATGAGCCAACAGTGAACAATTGCAGCCCAGAAGGCCAATTGCATCCTGGGGTGCATCAACAGAGGAGTGGCCACCACTGGAAGGAGGGGATTGTCCCGCTCTACTCTGCTCTTGTGAGTCCCCACTTGGACTACTGAGTCCAGGTTTGAAGCCCCCAGAACAAGAAGGACATGGATATGTTAGAACAGGTCCAGAGGAGCGCCACAAAGATTATCATGGGGCTGGAGCACCTATCTGATGAAGAGGGGCTGAGAGAGTTGGGGATGTTCAGCCTGGAGAAGAGAAGGTTCCAGGGAGACTTTGTTGCAGCTTTTCAATACTTCAGGGGGCTTATAAAAAAGGTGGAGAGCAAAGGGTTTTTTTTGTTTGATTGTTTGTTTGTTTTGTGGTTGTTTTGTGTTTTTGTTTTTTCTTGGGCAGATGATAGGACAAAGGGGAATGGTTTTAAACTAAAAGAGGGGAGATTTAGATTAGAGG